AGGAGGGGCAGAGTTTGAAAATAGAAACCAGGAGCTGGGATACACCACACCATTGAGAATTCAAGCTCTAGCTGCGACCTGCTAAGACAGCGGCTCATTGCGCATGTGGATGCCGAATCAAAGCGGAGGCTCTTTGTCCATCGATTGCAAAACCAGCATTCAACCTTCTTCAATTTGTGTCACCGGGATGTCCACAAGTTCGATGTAACAGTGAAGATGGGATGCGAGCCAATTTGAACAGGTGCCGAGAACAATTGTTGGCAAGAATTGCAGGATCGCTGTGAACTTGTTCCAAGCGAGATGCCAGGAACGCCAGCAAAGTTACCATTCCGAGCGTCCCGCTCTCACCACGGGAGAAAGAAAAGATGATGATGTCAAAGACGGTGAAGGCCACTTGACGATTCCATACAGTAGATGGTAAGGGTGTAAGCCTCTTTCATATTTTGAGTGCAGAAATACTCTCCAGTGTCCTGTTGACCACACGATAGTGGGCGGCAAGGAACACACCCAAGTTGCGTCTGAAGTTGCGGTCCCATTGCTCCTAGTAGCGTCCTTGCTCCTAGTAGTAAGGCCAGGAGCCCCTAGTAGCTTCTTGTTCCTAGTAGCAATGCCAGGAGCCCCTAGTAGCGTCCTTGCTCCTAGTTGCAGGCATTGCAAGGAGCCTCTCCTGGGGTACGCTTCGGCTCAAAGGCTCGAACCACGGACCAACTGAGCTGGCAGCGTTGTCGTTGATGGGCCAACCATGACCAACGGTGCCAATTCAAAGAACTAAGTGGTGGAGGATCTTACAGAAGGTTGTTCAAGTGCTGCGGTGATGATCCCAAAAGATCTCTCACTCCAATTCTGGCTGGTAGTGTGGATGTAGACTCCCAACTGTTCTCCACCCGAAGAATCTGACCAGATAGGAACGAGAATACAAAATACAAGACCCCATATGATAAGCTCTTCCCTTAAAAGACCGGTCAACTCCTTTCGTTTGCATTCAGGCCTCAATCGTCTCCGCAGAGTCGCCGAAGACTCCCAATCTCCAAGCCAGCCGAGAATTGAACAAGGTGCCCGTCAGACTCGGGTCAGGGCTGATTGGTCTCGGCAGAATCTGTGAGATCTACAGACTTGGTACGATAGAATTGAATCTAATTCTGAAACTTCGAGGTGGTAGGAGCAAGACTCTAAATTGCTCTCAAAGCAGACCTCTCGAGATCGGGACTTTTCCAAAATCTGCAGTCCATGAGAGTTGTACCCAAGTGATTTGGCCTTACTACTAGGAGCAAGGACGCTACTAGGAGCCCTACTAGGAACAAGAAGCTACTAGGGGCTCCTGGCCTTACTACTAGGAGCATGGACGCTACTAGGGGCTCCTGTGAGGCGCGTCCCCAACAGACCTTGGGCCGCCGCTTTGCACCAAAAGGCACCTTGCCTTGTCGCACTGCAACAATGGATAACAATGGTATGTTTAGCAGCTGCCTCCTTTCTCAGGCTTATACAAATATATATATATATTGGTAATTGTGGTCTCACTTGTGCATGTTTGGAGACCTGGTGGTTGGAGAAGCTTGCACCAGATATTTTAGGTTGATTCTCACAGGCAGGGTCGCCTTATGTGGAATGCACATGCATTGAGCTCGCAGGAGGTGCGCATTTTGAGTTTCCATTTTGCAGCCACTTGCAGCCACTTGCAAGTGGCTGCAAGTGGCTGCCCAAGCAAGTGGCTGCCAAGTGACTGCTACTTCTGTCCGGAGAATATCATGATTTCTCCGCACGCAGCTCTGGAGAACACCGAGATTTCTCCAGAGCTGCGCGCGGAGAAACCATGAAATAGTCCAAGATCTTTTCCGAGAATATCCCCGTAAAAGTTTCATCCATAAAATCAGTCCCCCCAGGCTCCTGCATAGAACGGTTCTACGAACCACATGGCTCTCCAGAAGAGACTCCAAAAGTGGAGGGGCACTCAATTTATGGACAGCCCTTTTTGGGTGGACTCCTATCCATTCTATGGAAAGGCAATCTTCCTATAATCTCAGATCAAAGGCTGTTTCAGGTGCTGGACTCCAGCCATTCTATAAGCACAGCATTCTTGAGAAGAATACTAAGGAAAGAACTAAGGAGACTCAGGCTCTATCATCTTCATCCTGCTGGCGTTCATGGGCCTTAGCTTGGGCACGCCCAGCCCACAAAAAAATAAAACGCTACTTGTAACTAGTACGCCGAAAGGTGTAAAATAGCGCCGAAAGGTGCAACTCATCTTCTTTTTCTTTAGGAATCGTTGGGCTCAACTTCCAGTGTCGGCTATTAAAACCCCACACGTGCTAAATAGGATTTTTGTGTGTGTGTGTGTTGCCAGTTCTGGTCTTTTCCGGAACTGGGTGTGTGTTGTGGATGGCTGTGATATTTTTTTAGTGAACAACAGACTGTTCATGAACTTTTGTGTTTGGGTTTTGTTGTGCAACTTGAAGGAGAGCCCGGAATGGTAGTTTTTTGGAATGGGGGATTGTCCAGTGGTATATGCGAAGCATATACACTTTCAGTAGCAGAACATAGACAGAGACCGTGCACAGCAAGAGTGAGAAATGTGGTTGTCCGTCATTGTCAGCTGTTTTGTGAAGCCTAGATTTCTTTGCCAACATGACCTCTTTATAAAATGTTTCTTTTTGTGAATTGTGTGCTTGAGCGTTTATCTTGACACAATGAAGGTCTGGAAGGAGGGTGGGGTAAACCAACTTATGGTTAGGCCATTTTTAGGTTATAGGTCTACAAAGGTGTCATTTTGGTTGGTTTTGGTCGGTCTGGGCTCCCCATTCTATAGTGAGCTGGTGTCCATCCTGTTAGCTGGGGTCATCCATTCTATAGAGCAAAAAAGGTAGGCTCCCCCATTTTATTACTATAGAATGTGGAGCCCGGACCGACCATGGGAATTTCAACGGGGATCCGAGAATAAATTCCAAACTTCTGCAGAGCTAGCGACGAAGAAATCTTGCAGTTTTTACATAAAGAACTCAAAGTGCACGTGTTGAAGTTTACTTGCTTGAGTGACAAGTGGCTGCCTGAGCAAGTGGTTGTAAGTGACTGCAAAGCCAAAATTCAAAACGGGCGCCCAGTGACTGCTCTAAAGGTCACATCAATTATGCCCAAGTGGTAACGTATGCTATAGCCATCCTCGAATATATACTGTAGATATTTTTCAACATGTTCTTGGAAGAACTTAAGAATTTCACTTCTCCACTTGCTATGAAACATATCATATTCATGCGATGCAAGAACGTGCCCGAATCAATTGTGACGGCTGGGTGGTGCAATTGAAATATATTCAAACCTTTTGAAACACAATTGTTCTTGGCAGCTCCTTTTTCAAGTTTCTTGGCAGCTCAGCAGACGCAGTGGCGAGGTATTGAGGTGACCACGGCTGTGCCAAAGAAGGCGAAGATCCGTCAAAATGAGTTGGCGCTGACGGTTTTGCTAATAGCTTCAACATGGAAAAAACACAGGTGGAAACGAGATAGAAATCAGGTGACCCATAGATTCTAAGACCGCTTTTTGGCTGTGAGAAGACCTCATCAAGCTGTGTGAGGGAGCTGGGCTGTGGCAGGTGCCCAGGGTGCCAAGCACATCAAGCACGGCCACCATACCGACGGTGCAGGTGCGCGACAGCTATGGTGTTGCCGACAGCCAATTTAAACATGTTCTCCTCAGCTTCATCAAAGGACCACCGAGCCACCAATCTGACATGGCTAAGATTGGTTCAAAGAAACATTTAGGCATACTTAGCTCAAGGCCCTGAGCATTTTGAACCCCAAACCCATGGCTAGTTTTGACATGTCGAGGACAGCATGCCTCAATCCTTTCCGTCAGAATCTCAAATTCCATCGTTACTTAGGAATGTTGACTACCACCTATATAGACCCCGAACATGATAGAAAAGGAAAGGCCCCACTATAAATCTATTGCAAACCGTTTCTATCTATTTGGGGAAACGACTATAGTGATTCAGTGCTCCAAAAAAAGACTTCTGTGCAGGCTGAGGAGCGAAAGGTTGCACGACCTCCGCCGGGGAGCCCGTTGGAATCCGTTGGACCCCAGGTCAGTGTCCTTTCGGACTCTGCCATAACCGAACATTCGGGTGAAGGGTACTCACTGTTTGTGGTTTGGTGCTTCAGGACCCACCCCAAATCAACGATTCAGGGCTTCAGAGAGCTTCGTCCCGTGCAAATCCTGTCCCCCTTTGTGTGTGTGGCAGACAGGTGTGGGAGCCGCAGAGGTGATCATGACCATTCATGACCTGTCTTCCTGCAAACATGACCTGTGTGGGTCAAGGTGTGGCGTGCAAACTTTGAATACCGTGGATGCTGACGACATGTTTTGTGCAGTGGAACTCCTCTTTTCAACCACGCTTTTAGACTTCACAAAGTGGGGCTCTGAAGAGTGCACCCCCACTCGATGTTCTGCCCCTTTGAGGCCAGAGATGCAGAATGGGGTCACGAAGGCCGACTGAGACGACGGGAGACCTCCAAGTCTGCAATTTGGGAGACCTCCAAGTCAACGGACTTTCAAAACAAAGGACCCAAGGAACATGCAACACAAGGAAGACATGCACTTGCCCAGTCTCACCTGTCACGGGTCCTGAGAATGGACACCTGTTGCAGCGACTTGACCACCTTGGGATGCTCCAAGGCAGCAGGGTTTCTCACCGATTTTTTTAAATGCATGTTCTCTGCAAAATCTCTTCTCAGGCGCCCAAGCTACTCCAGGAGAAAGGCGTCACCATCTCCCACCAGGTCCAATACCAGGTGAATGGGGCTTTCAAGGAGCGAGATGTTTGAGGGAAAGCAGTTCTCGCTTTGTGCTTGTCGTGACGTTGTTCGTCTGCAGCATCAAATCCCACGATAGCGAGATCCTGCATGAAGCCACGAAACCTGGGGTAGTTGACCCTTGAACACATAAGATCCACGTTGTAGAGATCCTTTGAAGGTTGACCCAGAGCTAGGCACCCCTCCCATTTGCCCTATCGACAGTATCGACTTAGGCCCTTCAGCCTAGTGCCTCTTGGGTTCCCAGGTGGATTTCACACCCTGCCATGGGCGCTGTCTCGCAATGCGTTCCTGGCAGAGCATCTCTGAGATTGCCAGAGCTGCGCAGCAGGAGAAGGAGGATGCCGAGATGGTCCGCAGGCGGGAGATGATTTTGTGTAGCTGCGGTGACCGACCCCAGAGCACCCCGACCCCGGCGCCATGTTATATACAATGGGCTGATCCGGATTTCTGGACCATTCGTGAGATTTAGATTGTGCCAAGGTTCAGGCTGTTTCCGATTTTCCGCGAAGACGAAGCACAGGTGTCTACCAGCACGGATCGATGCTCTTTTGCCTCAGGAGATTCTAGAGATGGCCAGCAAGCAGTATTGCCATGACAACTCAATGACAACTGTTTTGGAATCTCTGGACTTTTCTCCCATTCCTGAATGCGAACGCTGCACTTGAGGTTTGATCAAAGAGGAATTGGCGAAATTGAAGGGCTCCACATCTGACCAGTTTTTCAGGAGATGGCCCTGTGCTTTGAGCATGAACTATGGCAGATGCTCTTGGCCTCCACCCGAGAGTCTAGGCGCGCCCGGTCGAACACCCATCTACTTAGTCTACTTCTTCCCATCCATTTGGAAAAGGACTGAAAGGACTGAAAGGTGACCTACCGACCTCGCCCATTCTCGCCCCGAAAAGCCGGGCCCCGGGAAGCTTGGAGCCTCCTTGTGTTTGGGTCATTCTCCAGATCTGGTTGAGCCTTCCAAGAAATAACAAGGGTTTCAAGCCAAGCGTTGGCAAAGGCGCGACAGCTGGACGGTGGCCTCTGCCGCCCTCCGCGGTGCGGTGCGCTGCCTCTGGGAAGCGCTGCAGGGCTTCGAGGCGCGCCTCGCCGCGCGGGGCCACGTGGCGCTGCCGGAGGGCGAGGGTGGCAGGCCGGTGGCGCTGCAGGATCAGCGGCGGAAGGAGCTGCAAGGCGTGGTAGATCGAAGATCCAAGACTTCCGCGTTCCGAGGATCAAATATCATTCCATTGAAGGAACTGGCATTTTTGAATTCCTTCAGCCTCGTTCTGAACAAAACAATGATAGACATATATAGGCTCTTTCTCAGCAGGCAATACAACCCGTCATTCTACATTGAACTGATATGTATCGGCCAGTCTATCTCGGGGTGCAGATGAAGTCAACAAACATGTATGAGTATGAGGCATTTCTGCATTAAATTTGTCACTATAGCTGTGTTGGTAGTCCCTTCACAATATGAGATTCAGGTTTGCAGCTTGTAAACTGGTTAGGTTGAACTCGTCCTCTTTATCAGGGAGGTTGAGTTCACATGTTCTTAATTCCTCAGTTCAAACCATTTGGGTTAGAGAACAAGCCTTCAGCGGACGTTTGGAATTCCAAGTTTATATAAACATGCGCCAACATTGCAGACAGGATCACACGTCAGATTGACGGGCAGTATTGATTACTGTAGAGTAGAGTTCTCACACATTTGGTGGCTTACCTTCTTATCAATCAAAGGAATCGGCCTGCCATTGCTTAATCACGAGTGATTACTTCTTTTCTTGTTCATGCATCTTTCAGGTGTCACGCCCCGTTAGTGCCGTACGCTTTTGTCGTTTTTTGAGCATTTCTTGCAACATTTGTGTGGTATTGGCAACATTTGTGTGGTATCGCAGGGCCACTGAGGGGAAAATGATGTATGTGGCAATGTTGCGACATGACGCACACACACACACATGTTGGAAGATGGGGTCGGTTGGGGGGTTGTGGGGGGTTTGATGCCGCCTGCACAACGGGGTGCTGGTTGAAAGGGTCGCTACCGCCCCAAATGAAGAACAGAAGCAAAGCTTTTGTGAACAGACAGTTCTGGGACCGAGTGTATCAGTGGTTTTGCTGATGTAGTTGCTCTTGAAGAAAAAAGGGGACACCCTAACATGAACCTCATTGAAACAGTGTTTTGCCGTCCTTCCTCTGAAACACGCTCCAAAAACAGGGCGGCAAAAACAACATTTTTAGACAACTCATGGTACACATGCGCGGCTGTGTGGGGCGTGTTACCATGTTTCAGGGAGGACAATTCATCACACACTTCCTGTGCTGTATGTCCATAACAGGGTTGGGGTATATATGCAGACTTTCTAACCTTTGCTGCCGAGGAGTGGATCCTGCCAATACACCCCACCTATAATGACAGCAACAACACCATCAACAACTACAAGAATCACAACTGCATTGTCAATACCCAAGGGAGGCAGCAAGCAAAAAGCAACAGCATGCCACCACTCACAAGCAACACTTACGTGCCAGTAGTGGCCGATCCACTATCCCAAAGGTTCCCAGAAGTGGTCCAACTTTGGATTGGTTTATGCTGATGAATTACCCTCCCCGAGTGGAGGGTGCAATAAGGCTTCTTCAGCTACAATGCCTGAAGTACTGGCATTCAATACACCGTCATCATTTCGCCGTAAGAAATTCGAAAAAAGTAGCACCTCAAGTCAAAGCTGAAAAGGGTCGCTGGGTACAGTGGCTCCCTTCCCTAGGGATCCAAAAGTAGTACAATAAACCACTGTTCTCCTAACAGTAGTTGTTTTGCAAAACCATGTTTTCTCAGAGTTTTTTCACTTCGCTAAAATATACCCGTTAGATCATTGGTTGGTCATGCAAAAAAACATCCGAGCGATCCCAAAAAAACGTCGGATCCCAAGACCTGAATCCCTGCTCATCCCGAATCCACCCGATCGAACATGGGGCAGCGTCAGCATTTTCTCACCTTTGGCGAGTTTTCGGAGGTCCCTGTCCACGCTAAACAACTCCTGTTCCACGCTAAACAACTACTGATCCACGCTAAACATCTACTGTTCCACGGTTTGTCCATGGTTTGTCCACGCTCGATTTGTACCATTCATTGTTGGCTAAGAAACACAGTGAGCACATCCACAGCTACACTAACTAAAGAGCCGCTCATCCCGGTGCAAAAACACATCGGACTGATGCAAAAGAACCTCGGTTGCGCCAGGTATCGAAAGTCCAAAAAAAAGTCGGACCAAAAGACGACGTTTGGCCAAAAAGCCCTTGAGGAACCTCAGAGGTTTTTTTTCACTACTGAGGACGGCCAGGGCTTTGTAGAATTGGATTGATCAAAGGCGATACATCGCTTGCTAGTGGAATATCCTACAATCCCAGTTCGTGTGGGATCTTGGTACGGTGGAAGATCAGTTTTGGTGATGGCACCGTGCGACTTGTCTTTTTCTCCGTCTAACTGCGAGGCCAATTCAGTGGCGACCTTGCTGAGCTCTTGGCCACGGCCTTGCCCCACATCGCGCAGGTGGCAGTGGATGCGCATGCAGTGGCTGAGGAGGCACAGAAGCACCTGAACTGTGTGCTGGAGGCGCCTTGATTCGTGACACAGTGAGGTCTGGGAGAGGGGAAGAGAGAGAGAGAGAGATAGAGTTCTTTTCTTGGTTTTGCATAAAGAACCCTCTACGTGGCCTGGTGTTCTGGAGGAAAGGGGGCTGACAAGTATGGAGGAATAAAGGTTTGAAAGAGGGCGATGAGGGCATCGACGGAAATTCTGCTCGTGGAAGCTGAGGCCTGGGAAGCCGTGTTGACTTGCAAGACTCAGATCACCGATTTGTATATGGACAACGACGAGCTTTCGAATAGACGTTTTGAGGATCTTGTACTGGATGCTGCAAGGATCCTTGAAGAACAGGAGGTTGTTCTTGAAGACTGTGACTGGCAATGTGTGCGCGACTTTCTGTTGGGAGCATCTACGTGCCCTGAAGTAAAAGAGTCTTGGGATGCAATCTTGAAGAGATTGCAAGCAGACTTCTGTAAGAGTCGAGGCAAAGACCACGACTCCAGTTGGACAAAACTAGCGGAGAGTGTTCTCGAAGAGCTCGAGGGTGTGTCACGCAAGGAGGGAACTGCAGCAGCACAAATTCAGCGCCTGTGGAGGCGGCATAAGAACAGGCGGCAGCCTTTGCGGCCTCGATGTGCAAATGCTCACGAGATGTGCCTTTCCCCGTTCCGCTCGGGCAAGGAGAAGCTGGGTTTTCGCACACGCCGGAGTAGTATGTTCACCCGACGGTCTGCCAGGTGGTCGCAGCCTGGCCTGGAGTGTCATCGGACCAGCTTGGTCTCATCTCGTTCTCCAGAAGCACTGAGCATTTATTTATTGTCTGAAGGAGCAAGAGTTTTGAGCTCGGGCCCAACCATTGAAGCTGTGACGCAGTTCCATCGATATTGCACAGCACTGGACCTTGTCTCAACTGTTGAACTGTCTTCCACAGCTTTTCTTGCATTTTGGATGAACATCCGGAATTTGGCTGTCGTGGTCGCTTTGCTACAGCTCTACACTCAGCCGGAAGTGAAGCTTCCCAACACACAGGAGGAATGGACATCTTGCCTGGCAAGCACATCCTTATTTGTACACGGCAGGCAGCACTTTTTACAGTGGAGTCAAATCAGTCTGTGTTTCAAATTAGTAATTAGTATTAAGCGGCAGGCTTGGGTCGAGTTTTGTAGATTGTACAAGCAATTCAGCAGACATGGGGGACCGATGCAGTTTCACCACCAGGGTCCACCAAGCTTCGACAGGCCTTTGGGTCCTGCTGAAATTGATCACAACGTCCTTGGCTGCCAGTCGTTTCTGCCGATGCCTTCCCGCGGGAGTTTGCTGTCACTGCAAGACACTGGCCCTGCCAAGCAGGTGGGTCTTGCACAAACCCTACGACATAGTAATCGACCTCAGTTGAATATGGAAGAGTAGTGTCATCTGCAGACCCAACTTTACATCAAAAGCCCCCCAAAACAGACTTCTGCACACCCTCGATGCTCCGCTTCATGCCTCATGCCTAGGGCACAACTCTTCTCTTCAGGTGAAAGCCTTCATGCCTTGGCCGATCTTCGGCTTGTGGCTTCCGATCCACTTTGGATCACCCGCACTTGCAGTCTTCCATTCTGAGACGCTCTTGGAAGAGCTCCGCCCCTTGTCGCACAAGCTGAACCAAGAGCGTTGCGATCGTCAATGGTTTGTAGTCTTTTTTGATTGCTACAGGAAGGCGAAGGATGTCCAACCGATTCAACTGTCCAAACTGAAACTACGAAGCACTAAAGTTCGATTGAAGCCAACCAAACCTACAGCGGAGGCTCTAGCGCAGAGGACTTCTTGGGTCGTTGCCGTTCGCCAGCTGATGGCTACGATGGAAGCGAACAGCACCTGCGCTTACCGCCCAGCTTGCGGTCCGTGGCATATGCTTGAAAGTTTTGCTTCTGCCGATTTTTTTGTTTTCCCACTTCATCCTTTATGCATGGTCCAAGGGTATTCACTTGTACCTAGAACATTGTAGAATTATTGGATCATCTATGATCGCCTTTTTGAAACCACTAGGTCCTCCATTGCTCTGTGGCAACCGCTGTTGAAGAGCCGTGGCCCCTTCACGATGGAAGCCTCCGTGGAAGAGCCGTTGGACTGGACCTTCAATGCCAAAGCCTTGAAGCTTTCAGATGGCGCCGAAGTGGATAGATCTTGACTTGGTAGAGCCATGAGAGAGAAAGCACCTGAGATGGGCAGGTTGGGTAGCAGGCGGTTTGGGCTAGCTGGGAGAGTCAGACGACGCCTCCGGACTCGATGTCGGTGTGGACCCTGGGTGGGCCTCACCTCACCGATGGGTCTCAATCACCCACTGCCACCGAGCACCGAAAGATAACTCACCGTCACCGGTTCTTCTCGTTCGTCGAAGGGTTGAAGGAGACGAAGGAGCTCATGGTCTCGCTGAGCAACGGAGAAACACGAACGATGCAAAAAAGATCGTAGACCATATTCAGTAAGCACGCTGTAAAAGATGGAACCCGCTTGCATGTTTGGAGTGTCTACATCGGGAAGAGGGCAGAACATATCTTTCAACCAACTGAGTGGTCCAATGAGGAGTTGAATCTGAAAGGTCATGTCGCCCGTGAGACTCCTTTATTAAGTGGCATGAATCAATGAACATGTGCCCATTTCTACTTTTATTTTTTCCTATTCTTTGCCTACTTGTCAATGAATTGAAGATACCAGTTTGCCTTTCTGATCCGAAATCGAACATCAGGGTTCTTCGCCTCATCCTTTGGACGGTTGGAGAATCCGTGCACGTTCGGATCATCGATGACGCGTTCAGGAGGAACTCAGCGAGTCTTTGAAGGCGGTCGAGTGGGACCAGTTGTGCGTAGTGAACATTGAAGAGATTTGGCCACGAAATGAGACAGCATTGATGTATGTATATATGTATACACGTGTACATAAGTTATTTACGTAGGAATCTTAAGGCTTTGTCTTTGTGGGCCTTACTTCTATTGGCCAACGCTAAAGACAAACAAAGGGTAGGGTTGGAAAAGACCCATTCTCTGGTGGCTAGGGACTAATAGTAGGTTTGGCTAGATGGTGGATGAGCACAGACAGAGTCCTAGCTGTCCTGGCAAGCCTGACGGGTCAAGGATATCCAACCTCTTCTAGGTCTGGTCATTGACTCCGCATGAGATGGATCCTTCATTGGAGAAGGGAGCATCGCACGATAGTGTCTTGATACGGACAACAGTGAACACCAATGAAAAAGCGACTGCGCCGTGGGAGAAAACACACGGTGCTCAGGCACAGCTGAGGGAAAAGAACGAGAAGGAGGAGTTGTACCGCCTCAGGACAGCGAGCTGCGTCGGTTGGGAGACACCAAAGCACCGGAATGAAGACGGGCCAAGACCATCAGCTCGCGCCAAAAACCACTGAGCCAACGAAAGAAAGTGCACTTCAGCCTCGCCCTTTTTGAAGCCGTAGCATCCATAGAAGCCGCGATTTTTGTTGGCGTCGATAGAAGGGAAATGCCCCTCAGCACGGTGTGGGATGCTTCTGCCTTGGCACTTCTGTTGCTTTTCGACTGGCTTTGGCAGGGATGAACGCTAGGCAGTGGAGTCACATGCTTTGTTTGGCACCTGTGGGTTGACATCGATCACTGTAGAATGGAGAAAGGCACAGAAGGCACAGCCCAGATCTTTCTGCAAGGATAGAGTACCTGCAGCATCAGATTGATCTCTATCAGACTGCTGGAGTGGACTCCTGAGCATTTACTGTAATCTTGTTTTGCATCAGTCAGGACATAGCCATAGCTGAGTCTGAGCCTGCAGTACAGTAGACCACCAATCGCTCCAAATGCATCCAATTGCAAGTTTTTCATTTTAAGCCTCTATGGTAAAAGGGCTCTTTGTTCACGTGTGAATAACTTATAGTGCCTAGCTGCGGCTTTATTGCTGTGTATCCTAGCGGTGCCTAGCAGGCTACCGCCAAATTGACTCAGGCAGTTGAGCGCTCTCCGAGGGTGTGTGCAAGAGCAAGAAGCTCCAGGCGACGGGTCGGGAGTCCATACGACTATGGTGTCGCCTTAAAGGCAACTGGTGTGTGGAAAGGGGAAGAGCATGGATCGTTGCACTTGGTACATGTTGATACGTGTTGCATCATTTGGTTAAGCTACAAGCTCCTGAAATAAAAGCCAAATCATGTGACACCAAAAGGAAGACCACATTCTCCACATACACATTCATTTAAAGAAAGTAAGGCCAGGAGCCCCTAGTAGCTTCTTGTTACTAGTAGTAAGAATGCTCCTAGTAGTGATGCCACAAGCCCCTAGTAGCGTCCTTGCTCCTAGTAGCGATGCCCTTTGTTCCTAGTAGCATTAACAAAAACCTAACAAAAACCTATTTCCGTTGAACAAACCCGTCGGCTTGGGCCAACGGATCCAACCGAACCGTCGGCTCTGCGCCGCCCTCGCCAGCCCCTCGCATGAGCCTCGGACCTCGGAAGTCGAGGGCGTCGAGGGCTCGCAGCTCTCGGCAGTTGGGAGGCTTAGTGAAACTGAGCCAACATGGAAGTTGAAAATCGGTTCCACCAGGTCATTCTTTGTTATGAACATCTGCAATAATCAAGAAGTCTTGGGAATAGGAATATATAGGTATATACAAAATTCAGGATCCTTTTTGTGGAAGGTGATAAAGGTTTCGAATGAAACTAGACTGCTACAAGTTACAAGTGCCTCTCATCGTGGAAGAGTCCCTTATGTACCCAACATAAGTTGATGCGAGGTCCAAATCACTTTGCAACATTCGCACATTTTCTTGGGACTCTATTTGGAAGCCGCAAGCCCATTCCCCTGCTATTCAGCCAAGCACATTGAATGTTGGATAGCTGGACGTCAGAGTGAATCCATCCAATTTGTGGAGAGCGATCCGGCAGCATTTTGAGGCCGCGACGTCCTTCTTCGCTCCAAGGAGAAGCCGATGTAAAAGCCACTTCTCATGTGAGAAATGGGGTTTCACAATGATGTATTATATATAACAATTATTAGTTCAGAAGTTCAGATCCACAATTCTATGGGGCTGCAGGAATGGGAACACTGCAGTGCGTTCCATGTCCGCGCGGGAGGCTGGCGTCGGTGCCCGAGTGCTGGTCGACACTTGAGTGACTATGGTGGCCTCCGACCTACTAGCGAAGGCCTCCAACCTAATAGCAATGGGCTCTAACTAGTAGTAAGAATGCTCCTAGTAGCGATGCCTGGAGCCCCTAGTAGCGTCCTTGCTCCTAGCAGTAAGGCCAGGAGCCCCTAGTAGCTTCTTGTTACTAATAGCAATGGGCTCCAACCTACTTGCGGGGAAGAAACCAAAAAATCTCTGGGGGCCATCACGGCCACAATCCGTGGGCCGAGGCGAGACCATTCTGGCCTGTGTCTAAGTGCAGCGATGGAAAGCTTGAAGATTCCGACAATCTTGAACAACTGGAGTTTGTTCCACATGTGTTTGATGGGAATCTCCATGTTCGCATCCAGAGACTGCGGCACCATTGCCAGCTGATGTTTGCCTGACCAAGGGGAGCTACTCCAGGCTCTCAGGAGGCATGAAGTGATGCAAAAATGTCGATGTAGGTTAACAAGCGCCGTTCTTGAATGCACAGCCATTTTAGCCACAATTTGCATAAGCTTTCAGGGTCCTAGATTTCAAACCTGCAGGGCAACAAAGATTGTACCACCTCGACAGCAAAAGTTAACTGTTTCAAAGACAAGCCGGTTTGCTCCAAGCGAGAGAAGGCCACAGGGACCATATAGTGACTAGTGATGCCTCTAACTAGTAGTAAGAATGCTCCTAGTAGCGATGCCAGGGGCTCCTAGTAGCGTCCTTGCTCCTAGTAGTAAGGCCAGGAGCCCCTAGTAGCTTCTTGTTACTAATAGCAATGGCTTCCAACCTAGCGATGACCATCTTCAGGTCAAGGAACCCTTCGCGCTTCGGGGCCTCATCTCTCCTCGAGCTGTAGCCGAGCCCGTGGGACCACCTGCCCAGACACCCAGATGTCGGACAGGTGAGGACCTGCCTGGTGAGTCTATTTTGGAATGGATAAAGTAAGGTACAAGATTGCATAAGGTATATTAGATTTCATAAGCAAAAGGCAGCTGAGGAAGACAAGTCAGTCCAAAAGACCTTTTTTGAACCTTTCAGCCCAAATGTCTACGGTCAATGTCTACTACACCTGCAGGTGATTCATGCTGATTCCCTCCGGTCTACGGTGTCACTCGTGGCTCCATCGAGGTGGTGCAACTCCGTGAGCCTTGGACCCATTCTCCTGAGAGAGATGGCTTGGATCCCCGATCCGTGGAGGGTTCGATCCGTGCGAAGTGGTTCCGTTCAGGGCCTGTGAAAATCCGCGGCTTCGTGCACAGAAGAGACAACATGATACAAAATGATCCACTTCAAAGGTCACATCTGCATCAATTTGCCGGGTTTCTGTCCAGCAAGTCCAGCGTGCTGGTGTTTTTTTTTCATGTTTATTCGATCCGGCAGATTGCGATTTCTTCAGCTTTCATTTATTGTTTCAAACCTTTGTGTTTTTATTTTTTTTTTTCATATCTTTATTTCTTCCACCTTTTCAGCTTTGCGATTTCAGTGAAGGTCGCGATCCGCACCCGCAGCTGCGGCCCTTGGCCAGCGCGATATCTCCAGCGGTGGTTGACGCCTAAGGTTGTCGGTTGTTCCCAAGATGAGTATATAGAACATGTTACAGCGCATTCCTCAAAGCGATGCTCTTTTTCACTTAGAATGTTCTTTTTCTTATCATATTTAATATTTTTGTGTCAGGGATACGATTGCCAGCATCGAGAAACTTCCGACGATGAATGACATTCATTTTCTGACAGTTGCTTGGCCAAGGTCGGCCATGCCCACAACGTGCAACCGATCTACACGGCTGGCACTTAAGACGAGAGTGACATTTTGCCTCTTTGGGTTATCAACTGGACCTAGCTCCTTTGAAGATCTTGCATGCGCTTCAACTTCAGAATGACATGGTCAGTTTTTGTGCGATGCTCAGGTGACCAGCACATCATGTAGAAGCCGGAAATACCGGGGTTTCGATGACTTGAAGGGCGGTCTTCCCGGTTTCCCTCGCTTCTCTCCTTCCTGAGGTGGCCCCACCCGTGGTGGTCCTGAGACCCAAGGACGGCTGCAGTAGTTGGTCGTCCAAACCGGAAGGGACAGCGCTGGTTGGCTGTTTGGGTGATTGACCTGCTATGAGCACCGGCAAAGTTGTGCACATGTAGGAACATAGAGGGCAGGAGAGAGTGCAGCATTTTGCCGTGGCACACAGATGCGAGTCACTTGCAGCTGCCTTCTGGAGCAAACTATGATTCTCCAGGTCCAGAACTGGACAAGTAAGTTTTCTACTGCTCCAAGAGGTTTGCACCTCGGCCTTTGCCAGCTCTTTGAGCTACTTGGATGGGTCGCGTAGCTCGTCCAGGAACCTCTTGC